AAATGTAGGTAGGTTCTACCAAGGTGCTCCCATTCAGGCTGTGCTTTTCTTGACCCGACCCACCCTCACATAGATCATAGGAGCAGCTCTTGCATAGAAACATAGAGCTAGAAGGGACCTCCAGGGTCATCTAGTCCAAGCCCCTGAACAATGCAGGAAATTCACAACAACCACCCTACACTCCCGCAATGACTCTATGCCCCAGAGGAAGGTGATGACTCTGCCCCAGAGGAAGGCAAAAAACCTCCACAATCCCTGGGCCAATCTTGCCTGGAGGAAAATTTCTTCCTAACCCTGAAGTGGTGATCAGCATTCCCCTGGGTATGTAAGAAAGGGCCATGAAAGCCAAGCACTGGCTCATCCCTTCCCACCCTCTCTCTCCATCTAAACTCATAGAATCTGCACTACACAGCTGCTAACCTGGTAAAAAATTAAGTCACAGAATGGGGAGGGGAACTGTAAAAAGAAGTGCTGCCGTCAGAGAAAGCACCAACTGTGAGGGTAAGAGCGAAGGCTACTGAACAGCTACTACAGCTAGATTCATGTCCAGCAGCACCTTAGAGACCAGCTAGATTTTCGGGGTCTAAGATTTCAGGAGTCAAAGTTCCCTTTGTCAAATATAGCTGGTGAGGACAAAAAAAATCAAAGTGCTGACTGCATGCTCCCAAGTGGAATTATTGTAATTTGAGGTAAGTTGCAATGAACCAGACACCTTTTAGCCCCTTAAATCTCATAAATAGGGATGAGCAGATCCATGAGTTCCATGTGGCTATTGTCTGGCAGCTCCATATGACTTGGGTTCTGCTCTGGTTACCTTCCTGCAAGATTTCAAGGAAATGATAATAGAATTCATGCAAGAAAAGCGTTTATTCCTCTGAGCCTTAAAGGTGTATTTAAAAATCAAGTAAACAGGTTTCCCAAAAGAAAAAAATTGCTTTTCAGTAGCACTTTATTTGTAATGTTAACATCAAAAGTAACTCCTCCTGCGCTGAAAAACAAAAACAGGCCAAGAAATGTTAGTGTTGAACAGGGGTCTTGTTGTAGAAAAAGAGCTGCCGGAGCTCATTAGCATAACTCATTAGCATAACTTATTTGCATATGCCACGCCCCCTGACATCACCGGAAGTGACAGAAGGCCACACCCCCTGACATCACCGGAAGTGTGTCAGAAGGCCCGGCTACTTACCCTCCTGCTTCATCCTCATTCCCAAACGGAATGAGGATCGAAGCAGAGGGCGGGGTAAAGAAGGGGGCGGGGCTTCACCACGTGACCGCCCCGCCCCCTAGAGGTTCTCTTCCGGAGCTCCGTACCTGAGAGCTCCCCCCCGACTAGAGCCCTGGTGTTGAAGGTGTTTCTGGTTTTCGTTTTGGTTTTTATCTTGCAGAAGAGCTCAGCTGCCTTCTTCTGTAGCAGGAACACACACAGAAAAATACAGTCCCCCCTTCAACACCAATACTTTTGCGCACTGAAAACCAGAACATGCTTTTAAAAGTGCTGGCAAACATACTTCGGATCATACTTTGTTGCAAAAAATGCTAGATTCTGACATTAAATGTTTCACTCTGGTAAATGTTTTGATAATGCAGTACCCAAAATCCATGGAGAAATTTGATGGAAGATCATGTAAGCATCTCTAGCAATAGTGCCCTTCCAATGAACAGCCTTTTTTCGAATTCTGGGTACGAGGTATTCCTTCCTTCACTTTCTCCTCCCTGCTTGATGCCTAAAGAATAAAACCATGAAAGCAAACTATGCTTGGACTGAAACAGACATGCAACTCCCAATGAGTTTAAAAATTCTGCTTTTGAGAATGTAGCTTTTAAAAATTAGTGGGATCTCCAGACATGGAACTCCCAATGGAATCTGGCTTGGCCTCTTGAGAGAAAAGACGGCATAGCAGACTATAGAGTTCAAGAAGTTATAGCAAGGGAACCTGTGGGCTCAGGGAGCCCCTCCAGCCCCCTCTGTATTTACACTCCTGTTTCCCGCTGATGGCTTCTTTCTTGAAACAAATCAGAAAAAATGTCCTAATATCCCATTATGTTTCCTGCAATCCCATTTGCACTGAACCTGAGAATCCCAGATTACATTTAAAATTGAGCATTTTCTAGTGGCCTTGTTTTAGGAGGCCTGTTGGGAGATGTAACAACTTGATTGGTAAAGGGTTCAACTATTCAGGGTAGCTCATTAGTCATCCTCCCCTTGCGAAACACCTCCATTTACCCTCCACTGAGCTGGCAGGGAATCCAGATTCTATTGAACTTTAAAATACCAATTTCAAAGTATTATTTATTGTAATCCCATATTCCACCACAAGAGGCCAGGGCTATATATAACGTAACATAACAAGAGCCCTGCTGGATCAGACTAGTCATCCATCTTGTCCAGCATCCTGTCTCACACAGTGGCCAACCAGTTCCACTGGAGGTCCAACAAACAGAATAGAAGCCAAGGTCTTCCCCTGATGTTGCCTCCTGGCACTGAGATTCAGAGGTTGGCGGCTTCTGTATTTGGAGGTTCCCTTTAGTCACCGTGGCTAGTACCTATGTTATCCGATTCCCTCCTATGCTCACAACCACTTGGTTAAGCTGAGAGGAAAGGCTTAGCCCAGTCTCTGAGCTTTGTGGCAGGAGAAGGATTTGAACCCAAGTCTCCACAGTCTAGTCCAATATTCCTTACAGCATACCACACAGGCTCTTTCTCTATTTCCCCTGAAGCTAGCTCATACTTATTGCAGACAAGGTCCCTTTCTTGTGATGTTGTTGAAAACGTGTCCTAGTGTCAGATTGCACGTTCGCTATATGGCAAAACATAAAGGCAAAAGTGAAATAAGTAAACTTTCAATTATTTTATTGTTTAACTTAAAGTTCTTGGGATATAGCACTCCTCCCTAAGGTAAAGCAGACAGGTGTATGAGAACATAACTTGTGCAGAACGTCCAGACCTTACATTTCCATTCTGTATAACCTACCCTCTCCCCCCCCCCATCCTCTGCTCTCACCACTCCATTTAGACTAATGGAAAACTCCTCAATGAGATCTGTACTATTGTGTTTGTTAATTACCCCTTTCCTGGGTATGAGCTGTTTTTCCATCTGTACTAACGTAGGTAAGGGGTTTTGTACCTTGCATAAAGGTAATTGGTTTTCTAAGGGGGGGAGGGAGAAAAGGCCAAACGGATGGGGGGGGGAATCTTCCTTTTGGGTGCCTAGTACCATTTACGTAGCTATCACAATTATGAGCCATGCAGTATTTACTGCAAATGGAGCTTGCTTACCGTAACTGCCACCTGACCCCATCATCTCATAATTTCTTAGATTGTACTGGAGTTTAGTTAAAAGAACCCCCTCCCAACCCTGATTTTTCTCTTTCTGAATGGCCCACCAGTAGAGAAGGGCAACAATTCAGACAAGTACTGCAGTCTCTGATGAGACTCATTGCAGTCAGCCTCCCAGAGGCCTGCTTATACCCTTTGGTGCAACAGGCCATGGCTGATGTTTTGTTGTTGTTGTTGTTGTTCAGTCGCACAGTCGAGTCCGACTCTCTTCGCGACCCCATGGACCAGATCACGCCAGGCCTTCCGGTCTTCCGCCGTCCTCTGAAGTTGGCTCAACTTCATGTTTGTTGCATCTATGACACTGATGATGTTTACCCCTTTCTTATTGAAGAGCCTCTCTGGGACGAAGCGATTGGAGTAGTTTTTAAAGAGGAAAAAAGGGCCAGTTTATACATCTAGAAAAATAAAGCCGTAGAACTTTACCTGGACTGTTCCATTGCAGGTCAGGGAGTGTCCTGTCTGAATGTTGAAAAAAAATCCCTGGACAGACAGAAGATGCCTGCAAAGGAGAAGGGTTCAGTGGAGCATTTTCTGCTATGTGCTATTTTTTTCCTGCGTCCAGAGCGTGTTTCTTCCCTTTGGGAAGAATGCTGAAATGTGATGCTTCCCTCATTTGAAGCGCAACAGTCCAAGAGAAGTATAACCCTTAATAAAAACTTTGCAAAGAGTAAAGTAAAAAAAATTAAATCTCCCTACAGCAGAAAAAAAAAACACTGCAGTCACCATTTGGATTTTGGGGCCCAAAACAAAGTTGTTTTGGGCCGGTACATGACAAACAGAATGAAAGACCCAAAGATGAAACAGAAATAAAGTTATGAGCAGCCGGAAGAAGTGGAATATGAAGTTAAGCTCTTTCTAAATGTATTTTAAAGACCAGGATAGAAAATTGTTAGGAGAAGTGGTTCTTCAAGAGGCTTTTATTTTCTGAACAATTGGTTCATAAGTATTCTCAAAAATAATTTGGCTTCACCCACATAGCTAAACTAATAGGACACGACATATTTATCATTCAAATTTATACCCCGCCCTCCCAGCCTAGGCAGCTAAGGGTGGCATTTAAAACAATATTAAAACAATTACAATGCCCTAATATGTGCTCGATTCCAGTAATAAAGTTCATGATGGCTACCATCAACTATCTATCTTCCCGTGGCCGGCTCACAGATCATCTATAAATGTCTTCAGGTGTCTTTCCCAGCTGCTAGTACAGGCTGTTAATATACATTCCGGGGCAACAGGCTTCTTAGCCTAGTTGTTAATAGTGGCGGCGGCTCCAAAAGCCTGGCGGAAGAGCTCCGTTTTACAGGCCCCGTAGTAGGTACTATATATGCTGTGAGAGACCTTATATACAATTGTTGTGGGTCGAGCAGTCATAGTTGAGTGCATTGTGACAGAAATGGGGTAGTTAGGGTAGCCGGAGTTCATTCTGTGTCAGATTGCTTTGTCCGCCTCTGCAAAACCCGTCTCTTGTAATCACTGGGGGAAACCTAAAGTAATAGTCTGAAGGTCAGCAAGAGACTTAAGAGTATGCCAAAATGCATTAAAAAATCATTGGAAATTGTCAGATGGGGAAGACACCACAAGGCTTAGATGAAACTGATAATAAATTTGTGTAAGTTGTGCTAAAGCATCTTCATCGTGTCAATCAATGTTTTCCCCAAAGGATGAATGTACTAACCTTCCAGAAATCACAGGAGTCAGCTCAGCAGAATTGTAAGTGTCTGTGTCAGTCAGATCATAGTCTAGGATCACAGTCTAGGATTCCAGGTCCTTCCTGGCCACTGGCAGGGGATGGGGGGGAGTAGGGTTGCTGGCCTCAAGTTGGGGAACTCCTGGGAATTTGGGGATGGATCCTGGAGAGGAGGACAGGGACCTCAGAGGGGTACAGTGCCACAGAGCCCACCCTCCAAAGCATGCATTTTCTCCAGGGGAACTGATCTCTGGAGATGAGCCATAATTCCAAGGGATGCCCAGGTCTAACCTGGAGGCTGGCATCCCCAATCCATAAGAGTGGCCAAGTAAGGCTCCTTAGTGGCAGACCCTGAGGTTTAGAAGAGGGGCTTTGGGGTAGAGGACATGCTTTGCACGCAGAAATTCAATCCCTGGAGAGCTGCCGCCCCTCAGACTAGAAAGTATTGACCTAGAGGACTATAGTTTACTTCATGCAAAAAGGTACAAATGGCCCCTTTTAAGATAGTCCTGTACTGTTTGGTTTTATGAGAACATAAGAAAAGCCATGTTGGATCAGGCCAATGGCCCATCCAGTCCAGCAGTGTGTCACGCAGTGGCCAAACCCAGGTTTTCTGTAATAGCACTTCCCACATTAGAACACATGATCTCTCACACCCTGAAAAGTTTAGTTATGTATCCATTTCAAGGAACCTAGTTTGGTCATTGATGCAAATATGAAAAGGACTTCCATAGCACATTCCCTTGGAATAGTTTCTTCACAGTTTTGAAGGCTGCCTAGAGGTAGAATACACCGAGGTCCTAACTGTACATTACATCTCCCCCTCCCCATTCACCCCAAGGACATCAGATTGGGACTCTGGGGAGAGAGTACTTAAGTCTTTCCCTCCTGCCATTTTCCCAACTCCAAATGGCCCCAGACAGCTACTGTTCATCCCACTGAGAAAACCCACATCTACTTATCATTACTGGTAGGCTTCCCCAGTGGGGCAAATAGCAGCTTCCCAGGGCCATTACGGGTCAGAAAAATAGTGGGAGGGGAAGGTTTAAGTCTTTCCTCACACACTGTGGACTTCTTCTGAATCAGGTCCCTCCGTACCTGGGAGCTGAGTTCCAAGTGCAGAACTTGCAGCATACATTTGATCAAAAGTTGTTGTGACGGGCCAGGGGAAAGCAGGAGGAAAATGCTTCAATCCTAATTAACTTTATGGGGAAATAACTCTGCTTTTGCCACCTGCAGTCTATCAGTCCAGTGCCCTCCACTATCCAATTACCCTATGGTGGCAGAGGGGACACTGTGGCTGCTTCCAAACTCTGATTTCCCCCCACGTGGAATACAAGCCCCCACTTTCAATCTGAAGCACAGCTTTTCCCATTAAGTGAGATAAAAGAAAAACCACTTTTGATCCAGTTCAGAGGAAGAACTGCTGAGCACAGCATCCAAGTGGATGTTCCTGCCGCAGGCGCTTCAAGCAAGGGGACGGTGCCAGGCTCTACATTTCCTCCCCTTTCTTGGCCCCTTAAAGGTCTCCCCCCCCTTTTCTTTTCCAAGCGGAGGTGTGCCTGTAGTACCCATGCAACAGAGATTGTGCCAGGCTTCCCACAAACCCAGACACCCTCCCCTTTCCCCTTCCCAGCTGAGCTGAGGGAAAAGGAGAGGGCATCTGGGGTGCCATCTCTCTTGTATGTATACTTTCGTGCCATGGGGTGGCAGCGGCGGCAGGGAAAGGGAGCATTAATAGCAGCCAGCGGCATGTGGGTATGGATGCCATTCCCATGCCGCTTACTGCTGCCACCACTGTGGCAGAGGTGCATTTTCATACCCCTGTGTGGAATCAGACTGGAGTTCTCTGCATATCCCCCCCCCCCCCAAGTTTGGTGCAAGTAATGCCAACTGGTGAATCAGTTATCCTGTTAGCATTCCAATGTGTTTCAGTGTCCAAAACGTTTGGCTCTCTGTTCCAGCGGGTGTGAACCGGCCCCTGAGGAACAGGCTTTAGTCCTGGTGCACCATCAGCTAGTGCCAACTGGTGGGAAGAAGCTGTGCAACAGGTGGCTTGCAAGTCTAACAGAATGGTGAGCAACGTCTACAATTGCTTGTCAAATTTTGTCAAGAACATTGATTATACCTCACTGCTATTCAGCACAGCTCCTCTGTATAGCCTAACAGCCAGCTGGTGGGTCAGGGCCACAAGCGGCTCACCTCGGTAACACCACCCTTGAGAGTTCTACAAAGAGAAAACAGAGAAAGATGGAAAAGGAGGATTAGCACAGGCCGTCGACTGCAAAAAGAGTTCCTTTGAATAGCTGTGCAGAGCAGGCATTTCAGTAGGAGCTCTTTCTGCTTAGAGAGAAGCAGAAAGACAAAACTACACTGTGAAGTATTTCAAATGTTGTTTGTTCATGTTGAAAGTAAAGGTCTGAAATAGATGAAGATTCCAAGCCTCAAGGTTAATTCAAGACATTTTCTACCATCTCTGGCTAAGACCTACAACATATGAACTAACGCCAAGTGGGAGAACTTTGGACAGAACATTTTCAGCCTCAGAGCATGACTTCCTCAGCCTTCCCCTGCGGCCCAAAAACACCTCATGAAATGCTATTCCAGGGAGGTCTTGCCAACCCCCCGAAGCCATATTTCAGGGGTTTGGGGGGGGGGCTGTAACTGGAAGAGGGAAGTGAGAAAGTCATGCTCTGTGGCCAGAAATCCTCCTGCCTGCAGACATGCTCCACTGCATCAAAGGCAGAATGTCTTACCTTTCCTTCATATCTGTGTTACTGTAACATTTGAAATTAGGTCTAGGCAAGCCCTGGCTAGACACCAAAGGGTATTATGTGCTGTAAACCCAGGCTACACCCAGCTTGCCAAGGGACTCCCAAATTAGGAGGCGCAAGGTTTCCTAGATGCAGGTAACTACATCCACAGCTTATTTTAAGCCCTATTACATAACACAGGCCAATTTTATTTGCATGCATGCATTCTGAGAATGTTGACATGTTTGCAGGGATGGGAAAGATACTGAGAGCGGTTTTCTTTGCTGGGCAGCTAGAAGCGCTTCCTTTTTTCATTCATTTGAGATTTTATGACTTTAACTAATCTTTGCTTGAGGTTTGGAAGGTGGAAGAATACTTTCTTGGTACTATTTTAGCAAAGTAGGGTTGAAACTTAGGTTCTGCTATCCAACTGTGAATACAGGTATCATGTATCTGTTTTGAAAGGTGCTTTTCCCTTCTCTTCTGCTTTTCCTTTTAAAAACGTCAAAGTGTCCCCTGCTGTAAAGCTATAGTTTAAGTGAGATCTCCCTGCTACATTATCTTGCTACCATACAAACTTGAGAAAACCCCATTACAAAGGTAACTCTATTTGTCCTTTGCCTTATCTAAAATCTGTAGCTCCTTCCGTTATCCAGTCCAGCATTTCTCTAGTTACTGTTTACCTGCTTGACTTTTGTCTCCTTTTCCCCTTTCATCCAAAAATTGCCCATGACCGAGGTAGTAACCTTGTAGGGCCTTGTAGGGGAAGGAGCCCTCCAGCAGTCATGAGACTAACATGATGTCATCTCTCCACACAGGTTCCTCGATGTCCCGTTAGGGTACCTGTTACTGCTCATCTTGCAGAAACTGGTGCTTCTTGGGCTTCTCCTCGCATGTGTTTCATTACTGACAATAGTCTATTTGGTGCCACCGTACGGCCATCATCTTGTCTGGGTTGAACCCAGGGGAAATCCTTGGCCTCACCTGCAACTGCGGCACCTACGGCCACCACCGGTCTAGTACTGTCCCTCTTCGTCGATTTGTGCAAAAGAAAGGAAGCTGATCTGGAAGACCAATGCCGAATAAAAAAATTAATCTGTGAAAAATAAACTGACTAGATCACTGAAGCCAAGGTTTTAGTGAGAACCAACACTGCCAAAGAACTTTTGACAAGGGGGTGGTACTTCAAGCGTTCCTAAAGTGTGCCTTCTGGAAGGTCAGTGTATCCCTCTTGAAGACGAGTCTCTATACCTGCTTTAAAAAGGCCCCATGCTAATAGAAAACAAAAAGTAGCCTTTACAAGAACTCCCTCCAAAATGCAGTGTAAGTCATTTTCCTGCAGGGACTCGGGCTGGTCTCTGTAACAATTCCACAGAAAGGAACCACGGGGACCATAATCTATTTAAAGGATAATAGAAACACAGTGGTTAACTCTGAGATGACACAATGCAGAATTTTGTAGCACCTTGTAAAATGGCTGAATCTCTCAGAATCTTGATCATTTCTTTCAAAAATGAAGATTCTGGTCCTCACGGTTAGAAAGACAAGATTCATGAGAGAGAGAAATCTTTGTAATGTAAAAGGCTCCTGGCATCTGCACCAGGATGGGGGCACACCCTTCCTAAAGCCTCTAGTCCTAACTACCCACCTGACTTTTTTCTGTAGAGGCTAATACCTGACAACTGAGTTTCACTTTAGTCTGGCTTTACCAGCTGTTCTTCAGCAACTGAATGGATCGATCCATAAACTATGCTTCCAACAAGGGCCCCAAATCTGTGTTTGGCAATGTAAGGATCAATGTTCCCTCTAAGCTGTGGAGTCCTGTGAGCAAAAATCCTACTTTGTGAGTTCCTGGCATTAAAGTTGTGAGCGAGCAATTTGGCTCCTGCATAAATTAGTTTGCTCTGGAGCCATCTTTCCTGAGCTAAGACAAAAATCTGTGAGCTGGAGGCTAAAAAACTGTGAGCTAGCTCACACTAACTCAGCTTAGAGGGAACACTGGTAAGGATAATTGTGTGGGGAAGGTCGTTTGCAGGGGATAACAAGCAAGTGGGAGTACTTAACCCTTTGTATCTCTCCCTCCCCCGCTTTTCCTGCTGGAGAAAAAGACTATTTGGGTGGAGGATTAAATTGCCCTCTCTCCTTCCCTTGATTCGCCCCTACAGATTCCACGCAGCCACTATCATTAGCATTTCCTAGTATCTATGCTTGCAGAATATGCCATTCTGTCCCCAGACATCCAGTCCAAGCATGCTTTTGAAGGGATACTTATTGTGCTGGTCTACCATTTTGTTTTATCTTATTAGAAGTCTCCAAGAACTCTGAGAGACACAACAGGGTAGCCCAGATGAATATGAATACACCTACACCTGTCCTCTCCATTAACAACATCACTTCTTGTGTCCATTTTCCCTCCTCTTGAGGAGGGCTTATGGTGCCCCTGTTTAGATTTGCATCACCGGAAAGGGACAGGTGCTAATTGTACCTTGTGTTACAAGGAATTCCAGCCAAAGTCCCTCCCTGCTGGTTGGAAAGACCACACATAATCTCCCTTTGCTATATTATATACTTGCTTCAGGCCACAAAAGCTCTTATACTTCACATCTGGATTTTCAGTTTGCTCCTTCCTCAGAACAGGCTTTATTAGAGTCCAGAGTAAGGAGCTGCCTGTAAATACCACCTGAGCTTCTTTGACAATAGGAGAACCCCATCTCTTCCAACAAATTTGACAGAGAATGATCCACTAAAGCAGACCCTAAACGCTGTAACATTTTGTCCAATGAAACAGGAGCTTAGATATTTTAGGAGCAGCTGGATATATACTGAGCAGCTGGATTTCCCCTTGTCGGCCATGTCATATAAAACTAATCTTAAATCAAAAGGATCAGACCACTGAGAATACAGCAAAGAATGAGCAGCAAGTAATTTGTAAAGGGATTTAAGGGGCACACTGCTCATGGTGAACAAACAACTGGTGCTCCCAATGTGTCGTTTCAACACACATAGCTACGATGACGCTTGGAAATATTAAGGGACCCCAGCTTATCCCTGCAAAATATATGCATATATTTTGAAGCATTCAAAAAAGCACTGGAGTTACGTAGAGAAGAGATGTTACTAGAGCCCAGAAGTACTTTTAAGAGGAAGGAGAATTCTGGGGCACTCTGGGGACCTTCAGTCAAGCAGAGGAGGGGGAATCTATGACAAACAGAAGTCCCTCTGCACAGAATCCAGTCTGATAATAAAAGAATATTCAGACTGAAAAGAGGCCATGTATTCAGGCAAGAATCTGCTTATCCCTGAACCATTCAGAACCGACAATTTCCCTCCAGAGATTAAACAAACTTCCAAGACAACCCATTCCAGGAAAGATGTTTGTGTGTGTGTGTGTGTTTGTAAAGTGGCAAAGAAAAAGCTAACTCCGGAACAGGCTGCAAAGCCAAAGAGGATTGCTTCAATGTTTATTGTTTGGAAATAGACATCCCCACAGACATCAGACCTCATAGATCAGTTAGCTTATTCACAGGTTTATTCCCAGTGATGGGTTTTTATTGTATAGTTCCTTAGGACTGTGGAGAAGGACCCAATCAGTTAACAGGATTCTGAGGTTTTTTTGGGGGGGAAAGGCTGAATACACAACAGGATAGAAACTGATGCCTTATTTAACCACTAGCAGGATAATTTTCAAAGTTAATTCTGACTTCTCCTGGTCTCTCCCTGCTAGTCTTATACCCCACCCAAGGAGGCGGCACAACGTTTGGGGACAAGGCAGGGACTAAGACTTTTGGATCCAATTTCTCCCTTGTTCCTAAAGCATCAAAATCAAGTCGTGGACAACCGTTTAGTAAAAGAGGCAGCAGTGGCTAGTTATGTTAGGATGTTTCTCTTGGTGTCGACATCCAGCCAATTCCAAAGACAGACAAACTGTTGGTTTTGCAGATTTATTAGATGCCACTGCCTCCGGAGGGAAGCAACTGTTCTTACGAGGAACCCCAAAGATCCCGCTCCTTTCCACCTTGTTGATCTCCCCACACCACAACACTCTTGATTAAAAAAAAAAAAAGCGCTGAGCCTATCCTTCAAAGGCAAGGAGAGGAGCCTTTGCTCAGAAGTTATGCTGAACAGCCCAAAACAAACAAACAAACAAAACGTAGAAAGAGAAACAAAATACAAAACTCAGCCACCCAGAAGAAAAAGAACCGAGCACCATCTATTTTAAAACAGTGGGGAAGATGTATTCAGCTAGACAGAAGGTTTAGCTTTCCACATTTTCCCTCTTGGCATTTTTGACTGCCGCCTCCACCCAACGTCACCCTTTATTCTGCTAGCAAGAAAAAGTGGCACCAAGTCTATTTGGCCTGCTCTTCAGTCTTGCCAGGATGGAACCCAAAGGGGAAAATGCTACAGAAGTGAGAAAGGCCCCTAAGGTTCTGACCGAGACGCTGCCTTTCAGCTACAACTTCCATCTAACCAGCAGGATCGAGCTATATCCGGCCACTTTTTATGGACTGACCTCTATAATTGGAAACACAGTGATCTTTTTTTTTTTAAAAAAAAAAAGGAAAAAAGGGGCAAGAAGTGACAGGAACATAAAATGTGGTTACAAATCCTCCTTATATCTGATACAGTGTCCCAGTTTTAAAAATAGGAAAATAAAAATGAGGTTTTAGAGAGCTCTGCTGCCTTCTCCTTCCAGCCAAACAGGGGGAGGGGACATGGCCTTCAGAATATATCTTGCAACTAGAGAGGGGGGAAACCCAAACTCCAGATGGTTTTTCTGCATTCCCAACAGTGGAATAAAGTCTCTTGCCCCCTTCAGAGGATGACACACTTCCTTTTGGAAGATTTCTTCTTGCGCCCATTGCTGATCTTTTCTTTGTGTTTTCGGATTTCTCGCACCAGGGTGTAGAAAGCATCCTCCACTCCCTTCAAGATCCACAGAAAGAAGATATAAAGAGGGGAGAGAAAATACAAATAGATGACATAATTAGCTCTCCTGTTTAAATATTAGATATGTCCATGGCTTGTAAACAAATGTAGATAGTTCCTTCTAGTTAACCCTGGGCAGATCAGTGGGTTTTCCCTCTTGAGTGGGGGGAAAAGAACCATACATTCAACTCAGTCTATGATGTCAGAAAGCTCTTGGGGGGGATAGGGGAGCTGGAAATGGACAACACTAGGAGCATGATGCTTTGCTGATACCCTCTGTCACCAATCACATACAGCAAAGAGGAGGACAGTCATGAAATATGCAGTAGCTCCCAAATCAGAAATGCTCCTACAGTGATACGATTAAAAGTCTGGGCCCAATGATCACAGTCATTTTTGCCCTAAATCCCACTGCTTGGTTGAGTGTTGGTACGCAGCCGCTGGGGAAAGATGAGATATAAATGGTTTAATAAAGTACACAAAACAAATAATGTAGATCCTGCTGCTAGGATGTAGAGTAGGAAAACTAAACGGGGGGGGGGGAGAAGGGGACATGCAGATTTTACAGTTTGCCTCTCCTGGTGTCCGCAGCATCGCCTCCCACCAGACTAACTGCAAAGCCCAGAAAGTCAAGCACCTTTTCCCACTTGCACAGTCCTGATACCTGTCTGGTTTTGGCAGAGGTCTCTACAAAGGGGATTCCATAGCTTCTGGCCAGTTCCTGAGCCTGTTTCGTATCCACTGTCCGAGAGGGGAGATCACACTTATTGCCAACGAGCACCATGGGGACATCATCAGAATCCTTCACACGGTTGATCTGTTCTCTGCAATTGCACAGGAGATGGGGTTGCAGTCCGAGCATGAAGAATGGACATGTCAGCCTAGAACTGCCTTGACCAAGAGTTCCCCGATTACATCCCGGTTTTCCACTCATAAGCAAGGTATCTTTGAACTGCACTGCTATTATTGTGCTGCACCCTCTCCTCATAGATCTGGTTGCAGACTGAGGTCCAAATTAAGAGGGCGGATCATTATGCGTCTTCTCTACTCAACTTAAAAAAAACAAAACTGAACCATGGTATTAGGTTGCTGCACAATAAACTGGAGGAGTGCCACTTAACCCTTCCCTCTCTGCTTTTCCATTCAGGATTACACTAAAGCAAAAACAGGGGAGGGAGTGCAGTTCAGCACACAGCCCCACCCCATTTCTCCACTCAAACCTGGACAGGGCAGAAATGTATTCCCTAGGAGTCCAGGCATAAGGCTCATGTTCTTTGATACAAAGTCAGTTGACTTTTCATAAGCAACAAATTATAATTTCCCTACTGTGGACAACATTTGTATTCTAATTCATTTTGTGAAATTGTATACGCTGTGGCTGTAGTGACACTTGTTGAAATGGCTATAATATGTTTTATATACTTTCATAGACTTTACTGTAATTTATTGTGTCTTATACACCGTTTTCATTGGGTTGCATCTTATACTGTGTATCTCACTTTGTGTGGCATAATGATAAGCGAGGCAAAAGCATTATCTCTGCAGAAGTGTGTATGCCCAATGCAAACCTGTGTATTAGCACAACTTAAGTTTCATATTGGTTCCCAGCCAAAGTTCCTCCCTGCTGGCTGGAGGGACCTCATGTAACTTATTTCCACTGATTTTATTAAAAGTTGTTTCTACTCTGCCTCCCCCACTGTAACGCAATGGCTCAAGGTGATGGTCCAGCAAAGCTTCAGAGTCCTCTTACCTGTAGTGGTGAACATCTTCAAAAGACTTTGTGTTGTTGATTGCAAAGACACAAAGGAAGCCTTCCCCCGTCCTCATATACTGGTCACGCATGGCACTGTATTCCTCTTGCCCAGCCGTGTCCAGAATATCCAAGAGGCATGTCTCTCCGTCAATTACCACCTGCTTCCGGTAGGAATCCTGAGGTTCAGAAGCACAGAAAGGTGGCAAAATGGTTTAACAACTGAAACTAGCACAGACAGTCTGAATTGAACTGGGTGGAGGCTACGTCAGGAGAAGGCCTGCAAGGAGGCGATTAAAGACAAAGGCATTTTAGCGGTAGGCACAGGGAAGGAGAGTACACATCTTGGATACGCTGAAAGGACCGTTGCAGATGCCAAGACAATAAACGAGTTCTCAGCAACAATGGGAAGAAGGATCAGAGATGAACTGAGAGAAGTCAGCACACTGGAAGCCCAGCAAAATCTGAACAGGTAGTCTGATTGCAAGTGTCAAAGGCAGCAGAGGACTTAAGAAAGGCATCTGAATTTGGTCATAAGAAAGTCTTCAGCAACACTGGGAAGATCCCAATACCTCTATAGTCGGGTCATATTCGTCCACAAAGTGATTCTGGATCAGCTGTATGGTCAATGCGCTCTTCCCAACGCCACCAGCACCCACCACCACCAGTTTGTATTCCGTCATCTCCGCTGGGTAGTGGGTCAAGCTGAAAAGGAGGAGAAAGTAAGACCGATCTAGCAGAAGCCATTGCAATGGAATCCTTCACCACCACCCCCAACAATTCATGTGAGCTTACATCACCGTTGTAACTTCTCAACCCCTCCACCATAGTTAGTTTCACAGATTGTTATCTCCCCCTTCCCACTGTGTAGGAAATTCTTTGATTTTTGCTCAGGCCCAGTACTTTATATTAAAACAGATGAAGATGCTAACCCACATAGCTGAGCTCAGAGATCTCAGGCAGGGTACGGGCATAATGACAAACCACAACTCTGGCTTAATCCATGCCTGCATCCTGGCTTGTAAAACAGAAAACAACCAATAGACAGGATTCAGATTTAACCACAAACTAGGAACTCCACAAAAGTGCAAGTTTTTAATTACAGAGCCTGTACGTGACAAAGAGGAGGACAGGAAGAAACTTACAAGCCTGAGGATCCCTGAGGCTTGTTCCTGGGATGAAAAAACCATGATGCATGGATAATACTTTAGATTTTTTTTCTACAAAGAAGGGACTGGCACTCCCTGGTTCTTTCTTCTACATCACCTAAAGCACTCCCAGTGCAGGCAGCAGGATTTCAAGTGAGTGGCATTTTAGAGATGCCAGTTTCTGATATCAGAAGCATCATTCCACTGGGTGAAGCAGAATCAGGGCTGAGACTGGTAGGTCAACGGTACCACATAGTGTCAGAGCCAATGTGAAACCTAGATTTGATGAGCTTTCAGACCACATCCTGGTAATCTAACGCAGCCAGTTTTATTTATCAGACCAGTAAATATAGATTGATTGGCAAGGGCAGACCTCAGCACACCTGACACAGACACACATGCCACATATGGGGGTTGGTGCCAATCTGTTTGATGACTACAGCGAGTTCCTCCACAGCAGCTGAAGGACTAGCAGGATCCCCAGAAGCAGTACAGGCCAGCGTCACAATGCAGCTCAAACCCTGTGAGGGGCCAAATACTACAGAGGCACCCCCCCTCCCACTTGCTGGTTAAGGGTTACAGGCCTCAGTCAGCCATAAGGAAAGCTACCATTGCTAACTTCCCTTTGCAAACCTCCACCCTACCCCTATACATCCGGGAAGACTCTTCCCCAACAGCACTAGCTGGATGTATTTACTAGACCCATTACAAACCATCCCGCTGCAACAACACAACATATCATGTGAAAGATCCTGGAAGCCAGTAAAAAGACAGGATCTAGGCAGAGAAGCAGAAGATATCAGGGAACAACGGAAAGGGGTGGCGATGTTTAAGGGGGGGGGTGATGGATGGCGTCTCGGGCTGCTTTTGTCTTTGTATTGCAACACCTCCGCCTTAAATCCCAGCCCGCTTTACACTCCCCATTGTGCACGCGCGTGCATGCACACACCTCGTTCTGTTTACGCGCTGCTTTTTCCAAACAGGTGCCCCGCCCTGCCACAATCCCCCAACGCCGGTGCACGACCCTAATTCGGAGCTCAATGCAAATCTGTGCTCCCCCACCCCTCCCCGGTCCTTTGAACCCCCAGCTCCGTTTCCCCAACGCGCTGACCTTCCAAGCACCCCACCCCTCCGTGCAACCTCTGCTGAGGCACTGTCCACTAACCCCCCCCCCCCCCGTCCAAATGCTTTCCTTTTCACTTACCCGCCCAAACCCTGCGGGGAGGGGAGGAGGAGCTCCGGGTCTTACGCGCCCCCCATGGGGGGAGGAAAGGGGGGTCTTCCAGCGGCAGAGAGCGCACGCACTCTTCCTGCAAGGCCCGGGCCCAGGGCCGGCAACGGAAAATCCCTCCCTCGACCAGCCTGACAGCTCCCCTCGGTGCCCCGCCTCTCAATCCCGCACAGCCAATCGGAACATGGCACCGCCCCGAATCAGCCAATCGGAGTGGCTGGCGCCATAGAGATGCGCTCCATGGGTGAGGCTAGAGAAGCGCAGGATGCTGGGAGGACTAGGGCGGGGCTCGAGAAGGGAGGAAAGAGGGTCAGCTGGAGATGGCATGGGCGCCGAGGGGAGGGGGAAAGGGCTTTAAAGGGCCAGCGCCTCCTTCCTCCTTATCGGCTGGCAGGCAGACTACTCGTGTATTTGGGAAGGGGAGCCTTGGAATGGGGGTATAATTTGCTTTATATATAAAGTCACGTTTATGTGGATGTGCGCTCACGCACGTACGAGAAAGAGCATACTGTTTTAATGGAGGATAGCATATCAATGGCTATTGACCTAAGCAGGTAAATAGAGCCTCCAGCTTCAGACGCAGTATACCAAGTGTTCAGAGCTAATTCCGCCATGCCCTGCGTGGATATTCTCCAAGAGGCAGCCTGGCTGGTGCTGACGGAAACAGTGCTGAATTGGATGGACTTTAGTGTGAGCTGCCAGCAGGCCAAAGACCCCAGTTCCAGACTTGGCCTGGTGCTATCCCTTAGAAGTCTCACTTTCAGAACTCAGCAAGTGAAACTTTCAGTGGCATGGAGACAAACATGATGATCACCAGTTGATTGCTGAACATGAACACTTTTTTAAAGGGTGGCAGCGACAGGAGCCAGCAGCTTTACTGCCGCGGCTATCTGATGCCCAGTGTCTTTAGGGTGCCTCAAGGCTCTGTGGATGTTGCATTACTTTAGAGATAGTCTTTAGAGCAGGAGCCCCCAACCTTTTTGAACCTGTTTTAGAGGCTAAGGGGCAATGCTAGGGGGCCTATTTAGGACTGTGCCTGTTATCACCCTGGATGGTCCAGGCTTAGGGATGCCTACTCTAGGTTGGGACATCCCTGGAGATTTGGGGGTGGAACCTGGGGGAGGGACCTCAGCAGGGTATAATGGCACAGAATCCATCTCCAAAGCAGCCATTTTCTCCAGGGGACCTGATCTCTGCCATTTGGAGATCAACTGTAATTCTGGGAGATGTCAAGATTCCACCTGGAGAATGGCAACCCTTACCCAGGGTAGTTCAGTGTTGTTGCCAGATATCAGAAGCTAAGCAGATTTGGCTCTGGTTAGTACTTGGATCTCTCTCATGGATTGCTGCCCTGACGTGAATATACAGTGGATTTAAGGGACTAGATTTGATAGGCAGAGTGCCTGAAGAACTGTGGACGGAAGTTCGTGACATTGTACAGGAGGCAGAGAGGTCAGCACCATCCCAAAGAAAAAGAAATGCAAGAAAGCAAAGTCTGATGAGGCTTTACAAATAGCAGAAGTGGATTTAAGGGACTAGATTTGATAGGCAGAGTGCCTGAAGAACTGTGGACGGAAGTTCGTGACATTGTACAGGAGGCAGAGAGGTCAGCACCATCCCAAAGAAAAAGAAATGCAAGAAAGCAAAGTCTGATGAGGCTTTAGAAATAGCTGAGGAAAGAAGGAAAGCGAAAAGGCAAAGGTGAAAAGGAAAGATTTACCCAACTGAATGCAGATTTCCAGAGAACAGCAAGGAGAGATAAGGAGGCCTTCCTGAATGAACAATAGAATGGGAAGAACTAGAGGTCTCTTCAAGAAAATTGGAGAAATCAAGGGAACGTTCCATGCAAAGTTGGCTATGATAAAGGACAAAAACAGTAGGGACCTAACAGAAGCAGAAGAGATTAGGAAGAGATGGCAAGAATCCTCAGAAGAACTATACCAGAAGGACCTCAATGTCCTTGACAACCACGACGGTGTGATCACTGACTTAAGTCCAGACATCCTGGAGTGTGAAGTCAAATGGACCTTAGAAAGCATTACCAACGACAAAGCTAGCAGAGGTGATGGTATCCCAGCTAAGCTATTCAAAGTCTTAAAAGATGATGCTGTTAAAGTGCTGCACTCAATATGCCAGCAAATTTTAAAAATGCAACAGTGGCCACAGGATTGGAAAAGGTCAGTATACATTCCAATCCCAAAGAAGGGCAATGCCAAGGAATGTTCAAACTATTGTACAGTTGCACTCATTTCACACACTAGCAAGGTCATGCTCAAGATCCTGCAAGCTAGGCTTCAGCAGTACATGGATAGAAAACTGCCAGAAGTACAAGCTGGGTTTCGAAGAGGTAGAGGAACTAGGGATCAAATTGCCACCTTTCGCTGGATTAAGGAGAAAGCAAGGGAGTACCAGAAAAAAACCATCTGCTTCATTGACTACGCTAAAACCTTTGATTGTGTGGATCACAACAAACTGTGGCAAGTCCTTAAAGAGACAGGAGTGCCAGACCACCTCACATGTCTCCTGAGAAACCTGCATAAGGGTCAAGAAGCGACAGAACCGGATATGGAACAATTGATTGGTTTAGCATAGGAAAAGGAGTTTGACAAGGATGTATATTGTCATCCTGCTTATTTAATTTATATGCAGAGTACATCATGTGAAATACCGGCCTGGATGAATCACAAACCAGAATTAAGATTGCCAGGAAAAACATCAACAACCTCAGATATGCAGATGATATCACTCTACTGGCAGAAAGTGAAGAGGAACTTAAGAATCTCTTGCTAAGGATGAAAGAGGAGAGCACAAAAATTGGCTTGAAACTCAGCATCAAAAAAACTAAGATCATGGTATCCAACCCCATCACTCCTTGGCAAATAGAAGGGGAAGTCATGGAAGCAGTGACAGAAGTCACATTCCTGGGATCCAAGATCACTCCAGACAGTGACTGCAACCATGAAATTAAAAGACCCCTGCTCCTTGGGAGGAGAGCTATGGCAAACCTAGACAGCATAATAACAAGCAGAGACATCACCCTGCCAACAAAAGTCCGTGTGGTCAAAGCAATGGCATTCCCAGTAGTCATGTATGGCTGCGAGACTTCGACCATAAGGAAGGCCGAGCACCGAAGAATAGATTCTTTTGAACTATGGTGCTGGAGAAGACTCTGGAGAGTCCCTTGGACTGCAAGGAGATCAGATCAGTCAATCCTAAAAGGAATCAACCCTGACTGTTCCCTGGAAGGCCAGATACTGAAGCTGGAGCTCAAATCCTTTGGCCACCAAATGAGAAGGGAGCACTCACTGGAGAAGACCCTGATGCTGGGAAAGATTGAAGGTCAAAGAAGAAAGGGACGGCAAAGGATGAGATGGTTAGACAGTGTTATTGAGGCAACGAACATGACATTAAGCAAAGTCCGGAGGATGGCGGAAGACAGGAGGGCCTGCCGCAATGTGGTCCATGGGGTTGCGAAGAGTCGGACTCGACTATGTGACTGAACAACAAAGTACTTGGATGGGAGACCACCAAGGAAGTCTGGGATTGCTATCCAAAGGTAGGCAAACCACCTCTGTAGTCTTTTGCCTTGAAAACCCTGCAGGGTTGCCATAAATGGGCTGCAGTTCGATGGCACTTTCCACCCCAACCATGCTTGTTATCTACCTGGTGGCCACTGGCCAGAAAACCAAAGCAGGATGTGAAAACCTCCTGGAAAATCTGTTTAAACTAGGGCTACAAGATGGCAAGTAAATGAGGTTCCATGAAAGCAAGTGCATAATTATGCAAAGTAGGGCAATTCTAATTTTACATACGTTCTGATGGGACCTGAGCTGGTGGTGACTGACCGTGAAAGATATCTTGGAGTTATAGTGGTTAGCTCAATAAAAAAATGTTAACAAAAATGTTAACTCAGCAGTGAAAAAGACCAGTTCTATGCTAGGGTGTATTCTCTGGAATTTGCTGCTTGTGGATGTAGTGATGGTCACTGGAACAGGTGGCTTTAAAAGGAGATTGTCTGAAGAATACATCCCACAATGGCTACTAGGTAAGATGACTAAAGAGCTGTGGTGGCTCAAGTGGTTAAGACGCTGACCTGCAGGCTGTAGAAGGTCGGTAGCTCAGCAGTTCGAGACCTGAGTGCACCACATGACAGAGTGAGCTCCCGTCTCTAGTTCCAACTCCTGCCAACCTAGCAGTTCGAAAGCAAGAAATTGCCAGTAGATAAATAGGTACCACTTCAGTGGGAAGGTAACAGCGTTCCGTGCGCCTTGGTGTTTAGTCATGCCGGCCACATGACCACGGAAACGTCTTCGGACAGCGTGGGCTCTTCGGCTTTGAAACGGAGATGAGCACCGCAACCCTAGAGTCGGATTCGACTGGCTTTCGAGCAAGGGAACCTTTACCTTTTTAAGATGACTAAAGAGAACTGCCACATCCAAATGCAGTAACTCTCTGAATCCCAGTGGTGGGAGGCAATATCAGGAGAAGCCTTGGTGTTCCAGCCTTTGTCTGTGGCTTTTCAAGGAACCTTATTGGCCACTGTGAAACTGGCCAATGGACCATTGGTCTTGTCCAGCAGTTTGGATCCTTATTATTAAAAAAGGCACTGGAAACAAAACGTACAGTAATTATTGATTATTTTGGATAGATCTATGGTAGTGGAGCCTCATTAGAAATACCATGTACTGTTTTGGTCTTCTTGTCTCAAACCAATATTGTAGTGCTGGAATGTGTTCACAAAAGGTAACCAAGGACCCGGTCACACAGGCCGGATATCGCGGGGGGGGGAGGTGTGGTTAATTGCCCCGGCACAGTTTGATGCGCGATTACACGATCAGACGCACCGGCGGCACACCACGGGCCCTTCCCTTGGCGCCGGCGGGTAACTGAGGGACCGGAGGGGAATGCCGTGCGCTAGGGTTGCCAAATCTTCTTCCCCCCGCGGTGGGGGAGCGTTGCCGTGGTCCGGGAGTCGTGCGGACGTGCGCGCGTGAAGCGCGTGCGCGCCGGCAGCACGTCAGGCAACGTGCTGACGTTGGGGGCGTGGCTGAGCTCGTCGGAGGGGAAAACCATATGGTTTTCCCCTCCGACGAGCTCAGCCACGCCCCCAACGTCGGCAACGTGGCTGCGTCACC